GTGTCTATCATTTCCTCCGTGAGTACGTGAAGGCATAAGGAACAACAACAAATCTGGGTTACTATGGTTACGGTCCACTAGGCTCACTCCTATCTCACAGTTTCATATACTATCATGTCATCAAATACCATTCTCAGTTATGTCTCAATAAAATGACGAATTGTGCAAGAACTAGACCTTTGGACTACCTAAAACTATGAATAGTGAGTCTTTGTATGTGAAGACATAATCACCTATCATTCTGCTGGGAGCCATTCTTAGCCAGATGGTATACTGAAAGAGATTTGATCCACTAGTCTCATAAATTATCAAGGTTACTAAGATTTAATATGTCACCCTTCCTAAGAATACTCGCATTTTAATATAGAGTGCTTTCTTTTTTAAAAAAGCAAAAAAAAAAAAAAAATCAGGCAGGCAATTATATTGTAACTACTGAATTCCAAGCATTTCAAGTGGCTGCACAGACTATGATATACTCTAACCAAAGAACTCCTCCCTCTCTAGACAGGCACCTGCCTATTCTCCCTACAAGCAGAATTCCCCTGGCAGAAAACTATGAATGATTCCTCTACCTTCTAAAAGGAAATTTTAAAATATACATTAGATAATAATAGAGTTGGAGGTTAGGTGTAGGAGCCATAGGACATTATATTTTGCTTTCTTTCTCTCTTTCTTTTTAAGAATACCAGCAAAGAATACCAGTGGTATGAATGCGTTCCTTAGCATCATCTAGGATTGTGTTTCCATGGATTATATAGAGATTATGATTTGTATTTCTTATTTGTATTTCTATTGCCTAAATGGTCTCCCCATCGTTCCAATCAGTGAATAGCACAGTATAAACTGTAATAGAATCCTGAAGTTATTTAATGGGCTCTCTTCTCTCACTACTCTAGTTGCTACATGGCAAAGAGGTACACACTCTCTTTCTCATGGTGCCACTTACTGCAGTGCCTCTACACGGATGAGCATATAATTATTTAGTGCTCTTTGTTCCGGGACTGCTTTAGTGCAGTCAGTAGAGTCCTATTGGTCCTGCAGAATTTTAAACTGGGTTAAATGCCTGCCTTCGGCGAGTGGTTAAGAGACTGAAAAGTACAGTCCAATGAGCCTGAATTGATCAGGAGTAAAACTGGCAACAGTTCATAAGTTAGACACCCTTGGCCATTACTTTCATTTTTACAGGTTCTACAAGTGTCCACTTTTAGCCCTTGGTGCCTACATTTAATGCATATTTCTACATCAAAATTGGTCTAAATCAGTTAAAAGAAGCTAAATTAAATTTTTAAAAAAATGAAAAAAAAACTTCCCATTTTCAGATTTGACAACTCTCTAGAACTCTAATCTCAAAAAAAAAAAAAAAGCAAAAGTAAAAGCATATAGGAAGTTTTACTAGATACATACATATATATTTTAATGATTATTTTTATTTATTTTTAAGATTTTATTTATCTATTTGACATAGAGAGAGAGAGAACACAGGCAGCTTAGCAGGGAGCCTGATGTGGGACTCAATACCAGGACCACAAGATCATGACCTGAGCATAACGCAGTCACTTAACCAACTGAGTCACCCAGGAACCCCTTAATGATTATTTTTAAACATTCTTTTCAAATGAGAAATCCTAATGTTTAGTTCAAAAATTACTGCCTTTTAATGTGAGTCCCATTCCAGTTATGAACACTCCACTATGACATTCATATGCCAGTATGTCTCCTCTTACACAGAACTATCAAGTACTATTTAAAATTATCTTTAAATGTACATTTAAAATTTTCTTCCATTTGGAAGTTATTTATTTTGATAGCAAATGGATAGTTGGACTAAATTACCTTTGAGTTCCTCCCAGCCCTGAATGATTGATTCTACATTTCAGTAGTCAAGTCAATCTTACAGAAGGTAGAAAAGAAAAGAATTTGTCTGCATTGCATGAATTAACAGCAATGAAAAGGTCTCCTGCCTAACATTAATTTCCTCTCCCATCTGCCACAGGTTCTAAAATCCCCTCCCCCTTACTAGAATTATTTCTTGAAGGTACTCTTAAGGCTTATGAATTTTACTTGGATTCAGGTATTATGTTATAAAGGAGGGATAATCGATTAATTTAGATTAATTTACCTAATTACTATTAATTGTTACATTGAAAATAAGATCCCACAAGTAAGTTCTGGGGTGAACAGTTGGAGAGTGACCACGATATTATTCCATGCTGAAATTTATAAACAGATTCCTAGACAATTGACTCTGCCTCTCTCTGCCTTCAAAAGGCAAATCTCCTAAGATCCTTTTTATTTTCCCGTCTATCATCTAGTAAGGCCTTTACAGAATCCTCCTATTGAGTCTAGTACTAGCTTCCCACCATATCCTTTGGGCTTGATATTTCTTTCTTTCATTCTTCTTTTTTTTTTTTCTCTCTCTCTTTCTAAAGCCTATAGATCTTTTATACACATCCAGGGTTCTGGGCCAGCCCGTTCTAATATCCCATAGTTTCCCATGCTCCCAACTTCTGAGACATCTGGAACTCTGGCTTGACTGGGAGAAAAAGGTAGGTTCCAGAGCCCAGTATGATAGGATTATAGAGGAAGAAAAAAGTGGGGCCAATCTAAGCAGCCAGGTAAAGGAAAAGGAGAATGGCAAAGACTTAAGACAAATGGAGTTTAATTTAAAACATTTTCCTAGCACCCATCAGTTATGGCATCACTGTAATATGATAAAATCACCACAAAAATATAAGGTTGATGCATTATATAAAATTGTATATACCTGAAGCCATAATATCCTCTGGTTCATTTGTTATCAATTTGAGACAGCTCAAAGAAAACTGATAGTTTTCCTTGTGAATTTTGTATGAATACATTGGTTTAAATATCCAATGTGACCTTTAGGACTAGTCAGTATATGTTCTAGAATTGTGCCATTTACTGCCTTACCAGCAACTCATTTTTTTCTAAAACTACAAACACCAGGAACATTCCCATAAAAACTGTATTTTTTAAACTCTGTAGACCAATACTGTCATCAAGCCAGCCACCAAGAGGTGGAGGCTTTTATATGTCCTATTATCAATTCTGGAGTCATCAAATCTCCTTGAGTCAGCATTACATTAGCAGGTAGCATCCCTCCCTAGTTACATTCTGTTATTGGCAGATACCTTCTCCACATAGAAAGAGAGGAAGTGCCTCTGTGTAGGGTTTATCACATTACACCTTCCCTGTATAGCCACAGTGATATTGTGTGGATCAATAGAAACAGCAAAGAACAAGCCTTCTACATCTTCAGCCCATCAATACTTTAAATCAGAACTCTTAGTGGTAGACAAAAAGAACATACTACTAACTTAATTTTTCTCAGGGATTGCCTCCAAAACATAAGTAGGGCTTCACAAACCAAGTCAGTAATTCAAAGAAATAAACTAAAAAATAGAAGAGTTCTTTCTAATTTGTTATACAAATATGTTTAGTTAATAACCAAACACAGGGAAATTGTTGAAAGTATAGCATGAGGTTATGTTGTAAAGAAATAGCTGTGGCAGCTTGCTAAGCAAATCCAATGCTTTGTTTAATCTGGCTACAAAAAAGAGAATCCCGTCTCATTCCTACTTTTCCACTCACTAATAAAAGGGGGTGGGGGACATTCAATTAATTTATCAAAATAGCATAATTTGAAAATCCATAAAATGAAACCAGATTTCAGAAAAGTCGAAAGAAGCTAGATGGAACAGCATGTACATATCTCTTTGTATTATTCTTAATTCAGCCCACAAAAAAATTAGATTTATCCTATTGTTACTAACACATCTCAAGGCTATTTCATTAGCAAATCATCAATATTCATTGAGTGTTTACTGTAGGCTGAATGCTGTGTAGGAACTATAGGCTTTATTTGCAGGGACAAAGTAAAAGGAAGACAGTGTTAAAACATGAAATTCAAACACTTAGAAGAAGAACGTTCATTTTAGTAATTTTAACCAGAAAGAGAAATTCATTCTTTCTTTTTCTTTTCTTTCCTTGTTCCCTTCTTTTCCTTCTCCCTTCCTTGCTTCCACAAATATTCATCAAGTATCTATGTGTTCCAGGCTATGATCAGATATCAGTAAACAACAATAAACAAAACTGACAAGTTCCATACTCTCATAACACTCCCATTATTCTGGAGAAATCAGATGATAAGCAAATACATAACAAGTTCATTTCAAAAGGTAGGGATATAAAGAAAATAAAAGTGAAAAATCATATAGTGATTGAGTAGGAATGCATAAATAAATAAAATTGGGAAATAAGAGCAATGGAGAGGGTATACACCATTAAGCAGAATGGTCAGCGAAGGTCACTCTGAATGTTGCCATTTTAGCTAAGACTTGAATGATAAGAATGTGAATATCACAGGGAAAAGCACTGCAGGCAAATAAAACAGGAAGTGGAACAACCTCAAAGCAAGAGCAATGTGGTAGAAGAAGGACAAGGAAACCAGTATGGCTGATGAGTGATGAACAGAGAGTAGCAATAAGTGAGATGGATGAGGTAAACGATACCACAGCATTAGATCCTTACATGTATTGTGAGAAGTTTGGATTTTATTCTCAAGATGAGTAAATGTAATTGGGAGATTTTAAGCATGAGAATGACATGATTTGGCTTACATTTTAGCAGATCACTTTATTATGCTGAGTATGAATTTTGGTGGGAAAGCAGGAGCTCAAAGAAAACAGGAATCTATTGCCTAGTGTGGGAGAGAGATGGCTAACTCAGATCAATTAACCCATTTCTTTTGAACGGGTTTTTCAAAACTAGAAACTTCCTATAATAGAAGGAGTTTTATGATGATCAGTGACAACTGAAATAACTGCTCTGGATTTTTAGGTATAGATCAGTGAATTAAAATGAAGGAAAAATCTATTTCTTCCAAGTCCATAGTACTGTACTACATTTCTAATGAGAAGGAACTGCAAAAGGGAAACAAGAAATTCTACAAGGACAAAAAAAAAAAAATTATAACTTACCATTTTTGGCTTTGCAAGATCTGTTGTCTGGCTGCATTATGTAGCCCTCCACACAACTGCAGGCATAGGAACCATATGTATTTATGCAGGTCTGGCTGCATGTGCCATAAATAGCACATTCATCTTGATCTACAAGGAAAATGGGCATCATTTCTAAGCAGATTTATTGTTGGGCATTTTTTCCCCTAGAAGAAAACTTTTTTTTTTTTCAAATTTTGGAAATAGATAATTATTTTGGAAAGGAAGAACGAAATACAATAAGTCTTTTCCAAACCACACTAACTGAACGTCAAAATTCAAAGTTGCTTTAATAGTTACAGAGATAAAACATCAAACTTAGTATCTAATTTTTAATTTTAAAAGATAATATTAAGGCTAGAAATCCTTGGATATTTTTGCAAAGATATGAAATGCACTTTAAAGAATAAAGAGTTTATGTCTTTTTCACTATTTTAACAAAGAATTAGTCTGGTAATGTGGTTTTCAATGAACAGATTAAGAGTTCTGAGCTCAGCTACACAAATCACCTTCACTGGATCAAAAACAGGAAACTATTAAGCATTCATTGAAAAGAAAACTTTCATCTTAAATTTTAATAATATCTATGGTCCTATTTCTATTCCCTATCATCCTTCCTTTCCTGCCTCCTGCATCTTGTTCAAGTCTCTCTAAACAGCAAGTGCTTAAGGATTCTTAACCAACTAGGCTAATATATATATATATATATACATATATATATATATATATATATGTCAGCTACTAATTTGGACTAATGTATATTCAGTCTGTCCTGTGTACTGTGTACTCTACTAATCCCTGATGAAACAAACAAACAAAAAAAACATGATAACACATGTTTCCTACTTCTAAGTGAAACAAGTCTAATGAAATATAATTGCAATTCTATGCATTTCCTTGTAATAGGGGCATACTCTGGTTATGAGAAAAACACAGAGAAGTGAACCTGCTTGGAATCAGAGGGAGAATATTAAGTGAAGGCTGAATACTGACTTGGATTTAAAGGATGATTTGGATTTTCTCAGATTCAATAAGAAGGGATAAGATGGAAAGGGGCATTCCAGTTAAAATAGCATGTGAAATGATATTGGGATGACATAGTAGGGATTTCAAATAAGTAAAAAGGGTCAAGTGGAATAAGGGTGGATAAGCGAGGAGATAAGAGATGACACTGAGAAAGTAGTTTTGGGGCCAGATAATGAAGTTATTTGTATGCTAAAGTAAAGGGCTGTACATTGTATGTAGGCATTGTGAAAGCATTAATTGGATGAACTTTATAATACAAATAAAAATGGACTGGTGAAAGTAGAGATCCTGGAAAATTAGTTACGTGCTAATTTCACGCAAGAAACTGTATTTTAATTCCATTAAAATTTGAACTAAGTCAGTGGTAGTGCAGATGGATAAGAGAGAATGGACTGAAATGTTTAAGAACTAGAAGAGACAACATGTGAAAACTGGATAGATGGAAATGAATGCTGCTATACTAAAATAGGAATAAGTGGTATAATAAAAATATGTATTTGGTCTTTATCCTCAGTTTCTGGCACAGAGTTCCTAAAGCCCTTGCAATTTTCTGAGTTATAGGAGTGTCTTTTGTTATTTATGAGCCCCTTTGGAATATACCTTAGTCTGTGTCAATGAGGTGACTCAGGGTGGGGCCACTAGATGATGCCAGGATGGGGGTGGGGGGAGCTCCTCACCAGAAAGACCAAACGGATGATTAAAGGGTTGGAACTCTCAGCCCACTCTCTGAACACTGAGCTAAGAAAAGAGTTTACTAAGGAAAAGCAAAAATATTCCTGAGTAGTTAAGGGGCCATTTAAATTGGGAAACTATGCATTTGTATGGCATTAATTTGCACTTTTCTCAGATTTCTTTGGCTTCATATAACAGCTTGCATTTGTGGATGGTTTGTTTGAAGTAAGTTGCTTTGGGAATAAAAAGAATAGTTTTTGAAGTTAAGTTTACAGTGGTAATGAAAGAAATTAAATCTTGCATTTGGTAAAATCCAGCCCCTAGTGGCAGAAATGATTCTTCTTCTTTTTCACAGATTTTTCAGGTTTAATTTTATTGATTCCTATTTTAGCTTTTCTGACATGATTATGCTATCCAGGAGAGCAATATGAGTAATGATTTTTGTTGTTGTTGTTGTTGTTGTTGTTGTTCTTTTTAGCCAGAATGCACTGCTATGACATTCATGTAACTCCACAAAATTGGCCGCAAAGGAATAGGAATGTCATTACTTATAATGCTGCATTCTTTCTCCCTCTGAGGACAGAAACTACCCTGGAAATATGGCTTCAGGAAAGCATTAATGATGCTCAGTTCTGGTCGTCCAGGGTGGCAAATAAAGTAAAAAGAGCTCCTCTTTCAGTAGTGACCTTCCATATTGATGGATGCGTAATTCCTTATCAATAGTCAAAAGAAGATATTGATTATGATTACCTTTATGGATTTAATTAGGAGATTGGGGAGAAAGAGATCCATTGTAACAAGAGCTGAAAATCTTGACTCCTATAAGAGTCAGTTGTAGCAAAAGGGTAAGGATACTGTATAGGTATTTTAGCCTCCCCTGTGTGAATGGAAAGAGCTGTTTTGAACTGGAAATTGCATGCATGTGTGAGTTTATACAGAAGTACTATTCATATATGGCTGACTTTTGGGTTTATAAGGTGTCTAATGTTGCCAGGTCTTCTATCTGAAAAAAAAAAAAAAAAAGTCTGAGCTTTTGTGTGCAATATTCTGATTTTTAAATGTTGGTTTAAAATTGGTGTGAGTCAAATAAATACACCAGCTTGATCCACCTATTGTCAGATTACATAACCTCCAAGTCTAACAAACACTTAATAATAAATGTTTCTATAATATTTGACTATGCAGAAAACAAACAAACAACAAATGAAAAATTCAAACCCCAGATGTACATTAAAAAGCAATGAACCTCTTCAAGACAAGAATAAGTGGACTCTGCAGACCTGAGCTTTAGTCCCAAGTCTATTACTAAGAAGATGTGTAGGACTTAAGTAAGTTACTTAATTTATCAGGGTCTCACTTTTCTCACTTTTGTCATTAGAGTTTGAACAATATTCTCTCTGAGAACTCTTTCAACCTTAAGATTCTGTTTCTATGTAAAAATGATAATATTAAGGAAAAGATTTAAAGCAATTGGCAAAGCACCAGTTTCTTTGTAAAATAGTCTGTTATTAGTGGCTCTAGCAATGCAGATATTCTTTGATTTTATGTATAGATTCTATATTTTATGTTTCTATATATAGATTCTAAGTACTATACAAAATAGTGTATTACTTATATTACAGATTTATATACATATACTAACATATATATAATAGATGTTAATAGAATGGAGAAGTAACCTAGAATTGTTCAGTATGGCAGAGTGGAGTCATTTCAGAGGGTAAACATGTCCTGTGGAGCTTTCACAAAAGCAAGAATTAAGACATTAAAAATACACATAAATATTTTTATGTTCATTATTGCTGTTGGCAAAATGCCAACTGCCAGAATTACCAATGCAAAAAATGGAAAAATTGTAAAGAACATTGCACAATATTATTAACCTAACTTAGTTAATAACAAATGTCTACTACACTGCAGCCGTATAACTGCCAGAAAACATCTAGGAAGTTAAAACTGTTAAATTCAATGATTTCATGGTTAACCCAAACCACTTCCCATTTTTGACATTTACCGTATTTGATATTATTAAAATATGAATTGAAAACTGACTGGTAAAATGCATATCTGTTATGTTTATGTGTATGATTTATGTAGGAATATCATCTTTTAAATCTCAAGAAACAAACAAAAAAAAAGTTAGCTTAACCTCTGTATGAAGCACATGATAGATGCTCAAAGATACTTGATTAATTTCTGTAAAGTAAGGTTTTGTAAAAAAAAAAAAAAAAAAAAAAGAATCACGTGTCATACTTACCTCTACAGCTTCTCCCATCTTCTTTTACTTCAAATCCATCCTCACAGTAACATCTTGTACTATTTCTGACCATTGCACATTTATACTGACAATTCAACTGCTGACAACTGGGTAACAGTTCTGGAGAAGAAAAACAAAGACACTATGTTAATATAACTGTGTACACATGTGTCCTATATAAATTTAAATATTGTTAATATTTACTCAGGGCATAACCACAAGATTACAGTTCTGATTGGTCTCCTTGAAAATTTCTGTGATTGGTTGAGACAACAAAGAACTATTCGCTCTAAAATATGTTGGCTTGTATTTGTTTGAAGTATTGTTAACAAAATTTCAGATGTTAGGTCTTTCACTTTTACCTTATTATGTGCATTCAAAGACACAAATCTTTTCAAATTCTGGTGTATTAAATTATTTCAAGAGGAAAAATGTCCATTCAGTGGTTAATTTCAACATTTATACATTTTTCATCTGACACATCAATTGATTTTCTATCTTTTAAGGACTTGTTTTGATTTATAATCCATGTGTAAACTTCATGGCCATCAATGTGAATATATTCCATTTCAATAATTTATATTTCATTGGTGACAAAATATTAAACAAATACTGGACATAATATATTTCATTATATCTGAACTCTTTCAGAGAAGATACATCATTGAGGCAAAAGTTTAGCAAACCCTCAGAGTAGATTAGAATTCAATATGATAAATGCATGAAACAGAGATGAAGTGACAGAAGCATATTCATTGTACAAATAATTTCTAACAGGAATAAGATTTGCTAAACTAGAAAAATATATGGATAAAATGTGTTACTGATTTTGCTGTCTGAAAATAGAGGTATTAATAGACTGCAACAATCTCTTTTTCCCCCGGGGAGAAAAATAAGAGTTTTGAAGATTGAAGTTAAATGATTCAAAATATGTTGATAATGCTACAAGTTTAGCCAATGCTTGAGAAAAATACATATATATATATGTGTGTGTGTATATATATATAAATTATAATAAAAGTATATGAATGGTCCAATGTGGAAAAGAACAGCTAGAACATTCCAAATTGAAAATTTGCTATTTACTATATAAAGTATTTTCTCAGCCCAATTATTTTTCAACTCTTTCATGCAATTATTTCATGCATCTTCCCTTCTTAAAACCCCAAATCTTCTTCCTAATGGCCACTCACATATTGTGATCTTACTTCCTACTTTTCCTGAGATAACAGAAGCAATACAAGAGCTTTCCCACAGATTTATTCTTCACATTTACCTACTTCAGCATATACTTGTTTTTGTTTTTCAAACTTGGTTGAATTCATAATGAAAGCTTAACTCCAATCCCTGTAGACAAATCCCCTCCCCTCTCACCTATTCAAGGGTATCTCCTCAACTATTCTCTGCTTCTTCTCATTATCATTTCTTAAATAATTTATATTAGATCAAACAAGAACCCATCTCTTTTTGACAAATAAAACTTTTTGGAATACAGTCATGTCCATTTGTTTACATATAATATATTTTTATGTTATGTTAGTCACCATACAGTACATCATTAGTTTTTTTTTTTTAACATCATTGGTTTTTGATGTAGTGTTCCATGATTCATTGTTTGTGTATAACACCCAGTGCTCTATGCAATCTATGCCCTCCTTACTACCCATCACTAGGTTCACCCTTCCCCTGTCCCCTTTCCTTCTTTCTTTCTTTCCTCTGCTCCCTTCTCTCAGTTTGTTTCCCAGAGTCCATGGTCTCTCATGTTCATCTCCCATTCCAGTTTACCCCCTTTTCATTTTTCCCTTCCTTCTCTTAATGTCCTCCATGCTATTCCTTATGTTCCACAAATAAGTGAAACCATATGATAATTGACTTTCTCTGCTTGACTTATTTCACTTAGCCTAATCTCCTTGAGTCCCATCCATGTTGATGCAGAAGTTGGGTATCCATCCTTTTTGATGCCCAAGTAATATTCCATTGTGTATATGGACCACATTTTCTTTATCCATTTGTCTGTTTAAGGGCATCTCGGCTCTTTCCACAGTTTGGCTATTGTGGACATTGCTGCTATGAACATTGCAGTACATGTGCTCCTTTTCACTGTATCTGTATCTTTGGGGTAAATACCCAGAGTGCAATTGCTGGTCATAGGGTAGCTCTATTTTTAATTTTTTGAGGAACCTCCACACTGTTTTCAAAAGTGGCTGTACCCACTTGTATTCCCACCAACAGTATAGGAGGGTTCCCCTTTGTCCACATCCTCTCCAACATTTGTTTTTTCCTGCCTTGTCAATTTTTGCCATTCTAACTCATGTAAGGTGGTATCTTGATGTGGTTTTGATTTTAATTTCCCTGATGGTTAATGATAATCAATTCTTTTTTTTTCACATGTCTGTTAGCCATTTATTTATCTTCTTTTAAGAAGTGTCTGTTCATGTTCTTAGCTTATTTTATGACTTTTATGGGTTTTATTTTTTGGATGTTGAGATTGAGAAGTTCTTTATAGATCTTAGATATCAGTCCTTTGTCTGTAGTATCATTTGCAAATATCTTCTCCCATTCAGTGGGTTGTCTCTTTGTTTTGTTGACTGCTTCTGCTGTGCAGAAGTTTTTATCTTAATGAAGTCCCAAGAGTTCATTTTTGTTTTTGTTTCCCTTGCCTTTGGAGATGAGTCTTGAAAGAAGTTGCTGTGGCCAATGTCAAAGTGGTTACTGCCTATGTTCTCCTCTAGGATTTTGATGGGTTGCTATCTCACATTGTGGTCTTTCATCCATTTTGAGTTTATCTTTGTGTATGGTGTAAGAGAATAGTCAAGTTTCATTCTTCTGTATATAGCTCTCCAATTTTCTCAGCACCATTTATTGAAGAGACTGTCTTTTTTCCATTGGATATTTTTTCCTGCTTTGTCAAAGAATAGTTGACCTAGAGGAGGGTCCATATCTGGGCTCTCTCTATTCTGTTCCACTGGCCTATGTGTCTATTTTTGTGTCAGTACCATGATGTTTTAGTGATCACAGCTTTGTAATATAGCTTGAAATCAGGCAACGTGATGCCCTTAGATTTGTTTTTATTTTTTGACATTTCCTTGGCGATTCAGGGTATTTTTTGATTCCATACAAATTTTAAGATAGTTTGTTCCAGTGCTTTGAAAAATGTCATTGTTATTTTGATCGGGATGGCATTGAAAGTATAGATGGCTCCGAGCAGCATAGACATTTTAACAATGTTTATTCTTCTGATCCATGAGCATAGAATATTTTTCCATCTTTTTGTGTCTTCTTCAATTTCTTTCATGCGTGTTCTGTAGTTCCTAGAGTATAAATCCTTTACCTCTTTGGCCGGGTTTATTCCAAGGTATCTTATGGTTTCCGGTGCTATTGTAAATTGAATCTATTTTCTAATTTCTCTTTCTACAGTTATATTGTTAGTGTATAAGAAAGCAACTGATTTCTGTGTATTGATTTTGTATCCTGCCACATTTACTGAATTGCTGTATGAGTATGGGTTTTCCACATAGAGAATCATGTCACCTGAAGAAAGTGAGTTGACGTCTTCTTTGCCAATTTGAATATATTTATTTCTTTTTGTTTTCTTATTGTTGTTACTAGGATTTCTAGTATTATGTTGAAAAACAGTGGTGAGAGTGGGCATCCTTTTCATGTTCCTGATCTCAATGGAAAGGCTCTCATCTTTTCCCTATTGGGAATGATATTCACTGTGGGTTTTTCATAGATGGATTTTATGAAGTTGAGAAATGTTCCCTCTATCCCTGTACTCTGAAGAGTTTTAATCAGGAAAGGATGCTGTATTTTGTCAAAGCTTTTTCTGCACCTATTGCAAGGGCCACATGGTTCTTGTCTCTTCTCTTATTTATGTGTTCTGTCACATTGATTGATTTGTGAATGTTGAACCACCCTTGCATCCCACGGATAAATCCCATACTTGTGGTGGATAATCTTTTTAATGTACTGTTGGATCCTATTAGCTAGGATCTTATTGAGAATTTTGGCATCCATATTCATCACAGATATTGGTCTGAAATTCTCCTTTTTGGTGGGGTCTTTTCTTGGTTTCAGGATCAAGACAATTCTGGCCTCATAGAAAGAGTCTGAAAATTTTCCTTTTGTTTCAATTTTTTGAAATAGCATCTGGAGAATAGCTATTATTTCTTATTTGAATATTTGATAGAGTTCTCTAGAATCCATCAGACCCTGGACTATTGTTTTTGGGAGGTGTTTGATCACTGCTTCAATCTCGTTACTGGTTATTGCTCTATTCAGGTTATCAATTTCTTCCTGTTTCAGTCTTTGTAGTTTATAGGTTTCTAGGAATGCCTCCATTTCTTCCAGATTGCTAAATGTATTGTCATATAGCTGTTGATAATAATTTCTGATAATTCTATTTATTTCCTTAGTATTAGTCGTGATCTCTCCCCTTTCATTCATAATTTTATTAATTTGGGCTCTTTCTCTTGTCTTTTGGATAAGTCTGGCCAGTGATGTATCAATCTTATTACTTCTTTCAAAGGGCCAGCTTTTGGTTTTATTAATGTTTTCTACTGTATTTCTGACTTCTAATTCATTGATCTCTGCTCTAATCTTATGTCCCTTCTGGCACATAGGTTAGGCTTAATTTGTTGTTGATTCTCCAGATGTTTAAGGTGTAAAGACAGTTTGTGTACTCAGGATTTTTCTTTTTCTTTTTTTTTTTTTTTTTTTTTGAGTGAGGCTTGGATGGCTATGTATTTTCCACTTAGGACTACCTTTGCCATATCCCATAGGTTTTGGATAGATGTGTTTTCATTCTCATTGGTTTCCAAGAATTGTTCAAGTTCTTTGATTTCCTGGTTGACCTGAACATTCTTGAGCAGGATGATCTTTAGCTTCCAACTGTCTGAATTTTTTCCAAACTTTTTCTTGTGATTGAGTTCCAGTTTCAAAGTTGGTCTGAGAATATGCAGGGAATAATCTAAATCTCTTGGTATTGGTTGAGAGCTGATTTTTGACCCAGTATGTGGTCTATTTCTGAAGAAAGTCCTATGTGCACTCGAGAAGAATGAGTATTCTGTTGTTTTAGAATGTTCTGTATATGTCTATGAGGTCCATCTGGCCCACTGTGT